TAATCATGTTCCACGTTTCAGTAGGGGTTTTCCCGAGCCTAATGCAGAACTGAATGTTCACTCTTTGCTCACAATCAGCATCCATTGTGTCACCTTAACGAATGCAACAACAATCTGAATAATGCGTTCTTAAGCACAGCCCTATCACCTAGTAAGTTCGCATGGAAACATGGCCAAGGTCATGTCAAGTAAGAATACATACCAGCAGAGTCGTAGCTAGGGTTTTCAGCGCCCAGGGACAACTGAAGATTTCGTGCCCCTTACTGCTTTCCAAGGATGGAAAACATTTAATTTTAAAATGTCGTAACATCAGTTTGGCGCCCCTTGGATTCTGCGCCCGGGGAGCGTAATGGCAGACCGCACATTGAGTTGAACAATGTTAAGCAAATTTCGCTTACTGTGCATGCTTGATGGTGTACCTTTGGCACGGGGAGAAATATTGGCGACTAAGCAACCCTACGCTAGCTTATTTGTGATCACCATGGCTGTCGAATGTGCTCGAATGATGTTTACAACTGTAATGTTGTGGAACTTTGCTTATTAGTTATTTTAACGTCCATACCGATTGCACTTGTTTATTTTTCTAATATATATTTCGTTGTACTTTGTCAATAACAGTGCATTTAATATTTGTTTGTAATAATTCGTTATTTAAATGTAATTTGTTTACATGTTATAATTCAGTAATTGTAAACTGGAGTATCTCGCTTAGTTTGTTAGCGTATATTCGCGCTTTTATTTTCTCATTTCAAAGAATTTAATAACTAGCATTAAAGAATTGTAAAATTTCTTCAGTGTTATTTGCAAGCACTTGTTCTATTCCTCAGTGTTTCTTTACGTATGTACGTATGGTAAATCCCAAATTGTTTTTATTGCTTAAAAGTATAATGAATAAATTTTCAACTAATATATCCTAAATTTCAGTCTTTTTTTGAACGAAAATTTGTACAGTTCCAAAGGAATGTGCAGAATTTCATAGGTATTATATTTTACATTTTGAATGCAAACACTGCTTCACATTACTTCGCAATAATTTCAGCTTTCTAGTTGTTTGAGCAGTACAGCAAAAAAATAGTATTTTAACACATTAATTAATTTACATTTACATTATACTCTACGAAGATTTAAACGCCAGATTTGTTTACAATCAGATGGCAATACATCTACCATATACCGTATTTATCTTCTTTTCAAATCGCGCCAACATAGTAATTACGCCAAATTGTTTTCTGGGCATGCGCAGTATGCGACATTCGTTTAACACTGTTCAACTCAATGTGTGGTCTGCCATTACGCGCCCGGGGACAGATGACCCCCCTTGCCCCCCTCTAGCTATGCCCCCTGCATACCAGGTACCATTGGTCCTTTTTAGTATTGCAAATTCAGAAATTTAAAAAAAAAAAAAAAATTGGCCTGGAACTTTTCTGACAAAGGATTTATGTTTAGAATTCCTGATGCAGTGTTAAGTGTTGGCATACATTTTAATTTTTCTCTTTTTCAGTCTTTTCTCAGTTCATGATATCAATGTTCAGTTTTCTTACTAAGATGGCTTTACAAAACTTTTTTTTTTTTTTTTTTGTCTTTTTATTATTAACGTTTTTTTGGTGATTACTTTATTTATTAAATGTCACATTCTTAGTATGTATGCCAGATCAAAGTCGATTCAACAACAAAATCACAAAATATTTTAAAAAAGCATATCTTTAGAATTTCCGATAGGCAGTTTTGCGTGCTGGAGATAAAAACGTTTTATTCCCTAAAATGTTGCCACTGCTTGCTTTGAAACTGTTGAGATTTTTTAATAAAAAAATTCTTTAAAATTTTACAAAATATGAACAGATAATAAAACAAATTCAGGATTCGAGCTTCCAGTTGCCCATGTTTTGGTGGAGAACTATGTTCTTCAAAATCTGATGACTCTAGATACATGCAGATTTTTCATTACTTAATTTCTTTAAATATAATACTTGGTGGCAACAATTTGAAAAGTGATACATCGTTTATAATGATTCAACGCAAAATACCAGTTCGGGACTAATATCCCATTTAGGACTAACATCCCTTTTGGGCTAAAAGGTTTGACTTTTATGCAACATGAACTAGCCCTGATATTTCATTTTAAATTTAGACATCATATTTAGATTCCATATACAATTTGATTGAGAAGCAAATCTTTCTTTTTAACATAGCTAAAAATAAAATATCAATTTAAAAAATAGATTTCTGATGTTAATAGATTAAATGACAAGTACTTCTGTGCAGATTGTCATGAGAAATGGTCATCAAAACAATTTTTTTTTTTTTTTTTTTTGTCCAAAAAGGAAATGTTATAACACTATCAAAGCTTCAGTGCTGACACATAGCCAGCTTTTACATTATTGGCACAAATTTAAACTATTCCTAGTTTAATGAATTATTAAATTATGATTATACAATAATAAAATTTCATGAGAATATTAACATATTTATAGCATTTGAAAGCCTAAATTATTTGTGAAAATTCTTTTGGCACACTAACTATAACAAATATATAAATTACAGAATGCTACCCAGTAATAAATCACAAAAGAATATTGAATGGCATTTCAAGGGAAAATATCAATCTTAAGTTACTCTAATTTATTTATTAACTGACCCCTCCAGGCAAGTTGAAAATGACATTAAATACCCCAAATTTTGAAATAAAATATATGTTAACTCTATTTATATGGGAGTATTTTTTTTTTTTTTTAATTTTTTATAATGAGCCTAAAATTTTCCTAAATATAAGTATAGTAATTAAGAGAACGTATAAAAAGTTAAATTTAGTAATTTTTATAAAACTGATTTAAAAAAAAATAAAAATGCCAGAACATGAATATTTGCACCATCTCAATTATTTCTGTGATTGAAAGTACTATATGTTAAATAATAAAGTTCAGATAAAGACTTCGTTTGGATTATAATTAAACAGAGTTAAAATACAGACACCTAGCTAATAATGATTTGATCACTTTTGTGCACAAAAATGTAGTTTTCAGACAGGTATGAAGATTCTGTAAATTATTGAATACCCCATGTGTAACTTTCCCCGTGTTCAGTGCAGAAACTCTGATGTTTTGTGCAAATGTTTTTGGAGAAGGATCAATGTACAGAAAAAGCAGCTAATTTTATTTCTTTAGTAATATGAACATTCAGAAGCAATATGAAATATATATAGTAAAGGACGGTTACAGAGCTGATGTGGCAGAATTTCTAGAATTTAGTGATACACCGAACAACAAAATCTAGAAATGGCAAATGAAATTTAGAGCAAGCATTGGAAGCAAAATTTAGAAAGGCAGTAGGCAGCATTTAGGAAGCAGCAGCAGAATTTAGGATCTACAGAAATTGCATCAGGTAAGAAAATGTCTAATGCCAGCTATATGTATGATGCATTAAGAAATATTAGACAATTCTTTTAAATTGCAAGTTATCAATTTCTTTATTAATAAAAAAATCCCTTTCTATAATGCCTGCCGATGTGATAAGATCAGAAGCATTTTTGATATTTTTCATGCTTCTGTCTAGTGAAAAGGAGAGAAAATAAAGAGAAGATATACATGTTAAGACTCTAGTATCAGAAGTAATACATTTAAATATGTTTTCATTGTTCTTCCAGATGTCCTCCCAAAATTAAGAAATTCATTGCAAACTTTCTGTAAAATACATCCACTATGTGTTGATACTATGGAGACATTTTTCATTTTGTCACATATTTCTCGAAACTTCTAGAATCGTGGGTCCATAAATCTTGCCTTCAAATCCTTTTAAACTTTCCAAGCTGCAATGTCTAAAATCCTAAAGAAAAATTATCCCTACCATTTCTCTAACAAAAAAAAAGCCAGAAATATTTTGGAAAAAAGTAGGAGGGGGAAAGTATAAAATTAATTTTATAGAGAAAACTGATGTACATTCTGAGACAATTACATGGGAAAAACTCTTACTATGAAAAAATTAAAAACAAGACATTTTTAATTAATTACATATCTAATTTTGCTTTTGCTAAGAGCTGTTTTGTAAATTGTGCTTTATAGCATTATACCTTGTTTATTTTTCAGATTTAAAATATTTTATAAGTTGCCAAAATGAAACTTTATAATATGACAGCGAAAAAGAATGTTTTATTTTAATGTTATTTTTTAAATATAATTTCAATATATTACCATTATTTTAATAAAATTTATCAATGTTACGATGTTTTAAAAAAATTGTCGAAAAATTCTGATTTTGGAATTAAAAATTTTCTATAGAAACTAATCTTAAAATCGCCAAAATGTTGAAAAGTCGCCAAATTTAGAACCGTTTAATAAAAGAATTCACATCCCCAAAAGCAAAAAGTTGTTTAAGAGCTCTTTACTAGAAAAAATGAAATGCTTATGTTTCACTTCTTGCTTAGAAACTCGAGTATCCCATCATTTATATTAAAATAAAAATTAAATATATAAAAAAATTAAACAAATTATAACTCATGAACCCATTCAAAAGATTACCATATATACGGCAGCGAATCGCCAAAAATATTCCTCAAAATGACAGTCGTAAAAACAGACAGAAATTTCAGATGATTAAAATTAAGGACCTTCTGTTTATTTTGGCCAAAATTAAGGACTTTTAAGGACCAAAAATCGATTCCAAAAAATCTAAGGACTCAAGGACCGTACGAACCCTATGTTTGGAGCAGACCCTGAGTAAATGAGAAAGATTCCAGTAGATGGTGACTACACTAAACAACTGTCCATCATTGTGATAAGAAGGAAATAGGACTCAGTCTCAAACTGGCAGACCCTGAAGCAATTTTATAGGCCAGCAAATACATTACAATTATGTGTGTTACAAATACAGTTTTGGAAAGTTTTTAAGATTTTAGTTATTTGAAGTCCGAATTTATATTATTTTAATTTCCATTACAATGATATAGTCAGTATACCAAATGAAAGTAAAATCAATTAATTAACTTTCTTACCAAAGAACATAATAACTAGCTTCAATTAAAATTTATTGAACTCAATTTATGCTGTAAAAATACATGCTTTTTCATGTTACTTTTCCTATTAAATCTTTTCTTGCAATGCGGACAGCAAAATGATCTTTCTCCAGTATGGATTGTTACATGCTGTTTCATGCGATTACGGTCCCATGATGAATATGTACACCATGAACATTTATAAAAACCATTATTTTGATATTCTTTACTACTTGAACTGACATTTTCTTTTGGAAACTGCTTGAAATTAAGTTGGCCACGCAGAGATGATGAAAACACTGCAACAGAACAGTACTTGCTGAAAATTAAAGTTAAAAAGATAGTAAACAAAACATTTTGAATACAAATGATATATTTAATACTAAATATTACATTACTCCTAAAAGTTCTGCTTTATAGATAGTGCTGTTTTATAGATTATTTCATGTTTTGGATTCTGTCTCTTTTAAGACACCATTCCACATTTATTTATGAGCTTCTTTTTGTGTATGTATTTACACAAAATACATAAAAATCCATAGTAAATGAATGAATTACTATATGAGGATTCATGGCAAAAATCTAGATGTTTTTACCATAAAAAAGGAGGGAGAATACTTTTAGTTTAAAATTCTGCTGATAGATAGCACTACATTGTCATTTTATCCTTTGGATGACCTTTAACAAAAGAAAGCTTCCTCTAATACCAAACAACTATGCTTTCTACCCTCTTTCTATAGGATATCACATTCTAAAAGCATGAATTACCTTGATGCACCGAGTATCTGTTACTATTCAATCAATGGAAATATTATACTAGGGATGATGGGCTGCTGATATACACCCAGGATTTCAAATGGTCCACAATCAAAAGTCCTCAGATGTCTTGCTCTGGCAGTTAAAAATACTAGGCAGCAGGACATGAGTCATAAATCAGTCAGCCAGCACCAAAAGCCTTCAGGAGAAACTGCTTCACCTAGGCTGGTGCTATTGACCCAAAGGGATTTATGATAGAGATGATGGACTGCTGGTGCAGACTTGAAATTTCAAATAGCTCCACAACCAAAAACCAACAGACGTTCGGTATTATAACTGAGATAGGCTGTCTCAGTTACAATACTGGACAAGACAGGCTCTGAATGACTAATTAATCACCCAAGACTAAATGCCCTCACAAAGAACTGCTTCACAGAAGCTGTTTATATGCCAGGATGCAGCATTTTGCATAAGCATTATATTTTCAGGTAGTATTGCTGGCCAAATTCTTCAAAGTGTAAAACAAAAGCTTTTACTGCTGTTATAATCATTTTAAGCTATTTCTCTACACGAAACTATCGCAAAACTGAAATACCTGATCTTGTGGTCAAATAAAACAATTTTACAACTAATGAGGCTTATTAATCAAACTCACTCTACTATAAATCATCATTAAAGTCTGTGGATAAGCACCAGCAAAAAAAAAAAAAAAAAAACTGAGTTTTTCATGTGCATGACGTTTTTAAAAGCTAACCTCATTTGCATCCCTATGTTTTTTACAATGCAGAACCATCTATATTTTTTAAAGTTTTGAATCTATGACATAAATATCCAATGAAAACTTTTTTTTTTTTTTTTATGAATTTTTAAAAGCAAGGGGAAGGAAAACTTTTGTTATTTTGTTACACTCAGTATTTTTCATGCCTTCCCCCCTCCAATTTCTGCAGTTTTTAATATGTATTACATATTTACACCTCATAAATAACAACTGAAAATAGATAAAAGGTGATACCTTTTATCAGTGAATTCGTCCAGATGCTTTTTCAAAGTTTATTTAAATAACAAATTTTATTTAGCTCAAAGAACATAAAATTTATTTTATAAATTAAGATTTAATTATTACAAGGTCTTTCTAGAAAATACTCAGTTATTTTAAATATCTTGAAAGGTGGTAGCACAGCCTTGATATAATTTTGCAATATTAGAGTCGCATGTGTAAAAATTTTATTTCATCACACAGCTAATCAGTCAACAATGAGATATTACCAATGACCAAAGATAATGAAATATGAACCGAATATTATCACAGCTTCATCTGGAATTCATTAATTATATCATCCTTTAAAGTTCTTCATAACCAGTAGAATATTTCCACAATATCTCAGTTTTAAATCAAACTGACAAAGATGTGCTAATCCGGTTTACTGTTATTACGAGTATGGTATACAGTACAGGTACATATTGAAAAAAACTATTGAGTAACATACTTCCTCAACAACTTCTCATTTTTATCTGACCAATTCCATAGCAAATTTATAGTTTTCACAAATACAATAAAATCAACTTTTAATTCTTGTCAAATTTAACTAAGGCTACATAACAATTTTCAATAATTTTGGAATAGATGCGATAAGAACCATATTCTAGAAATGAAGGAAACATATATTAAATAAATGCAGTATTTCCAAAACATATTCAGGGAAAGAGTTATTAAATCAAATATTAAAATTCAGAATGACAAAAATGCTAAAATAATAGATTAAAAGGGAAAACCTTAAAAGAGATGCTGCTTATTAATTTTGTCTTCAGGTAATTTTAATAGAAGTGTAATTTTGAGAAATATAATTATTGATGTTACAGCAAGAAATTAATATGTCAATCAGAAAAGGTACACTTTTACTAGTACTATATGTCAAAAAAATTGTGCATTTTGTCATTTAGTTCTTAACTGTACATACACACAGTCTATGAAAAATATATAAAAGTACTCACATAATTCTGTATTAATGTTAAAAAGCATACACTTTCGTTTCCGCTAATTGTATACAAAATTCACTGAGAGTATATATTCAACTTTTGATAATGTGTGCTAATGTTAACAATATGATAATAATAAAACTAATATGCAGTACAGTCAGTTCAGTTAATGTGATACAAATATTATATAAATTTTAAGCAATATGCAAAAAATGCACTCACATAAGTTATCTAAGGCAATTTTTCTATGGTATGTTAAACAAAAAATTAGTTTAAATGCTTCCATAATATGTAGCATACATGAAATAACACAAAAATGATACTTCATATAACACAAAATTGATCTTGTGTTACATAGAACTTCTGCATTAAAAAATGCACTTCAATCAAATACATAACTAAATAAAGAATATCACTGTATCAAAAATGCAATATATGTATGTACTGAAAATGAAAACTCACATATATTGTACTTTCAATACAATATCAATATGATTTGAAAATTAAATAACAGACAGTACAACAATATCTTTAAGCAATTTTATTTCAACATGAAAGTTTTACTTGTATAAATAGTCAGAAATTGAATGAGTTCTATTTTTATTTGCACTTATTATGCAGTTTGTCCACACAAAGAAGACAAAGAATTGAGTACACTATTATAAAAGAAACAAAAGAGGAAGCAGGATTAAAAAAGTGCAAGTTAAAAATATATGTTTGTGTATAAATATTCATATATTAAATTGTTTAAATAGTAAATGTAGACTGATAAGTTAAACAAATGCATTTGCCCAAGGGCTGGCAGTTTACCCTTTGAAAAGAAATTAATTTCTAAGCTTATCTTAATAAACAAGTTTCCAATATGGATGCACTCTAGGTTTTATCAAAAATAATTTTCTTAGCTGCTAAAAGAAAGAAAAAAGAAAATGTTCTTTTAATCAACAAATTAACATACTTCAGTAAGAATGGTGAGACTAGCTATGGTGCACAATATCTAGAATATAATGCACTAAATTTTATTTTTATAAACTATTAACTGCAAGAGATATTCCAACCGTAAACTGACAAAATAATTATTTTGAAAGCATACTTTATATGAATGTAATACAGCATTATACAGCAGTTTCATGATGGATACTTTATTTTTCCACATAGTCACCCTGATTCCACATAATCCATCTTGTAAAACAGGACAGCAAGCCACCATGTCAGCACTGTTTTGATAACTTTGCCACTTTTAAATTTATGGCCATAAAGATATTTCTTAAGAATGCATGCTACTGGAGAATTATTAAATGACAGTGAATGAACATGACTTGAATCTGTCATTTAGAATAGTGTCCCGAATGATTTCTAAAATATGTACATAATGGTTTTCCAACCAACATGCTTTTCCCCAAGAATGACAAGACAAACTAAATGGCATTTCTTTGTCTCCTTGCAACAATATGCAGAGATTTTCTGGAATGCATATTCACTAATGATAGGATTCTTGCACTATGGAATCAAAATATGGAATCATTGGGCTTCTCATGAACTAAGAATTCAGGATCATACTGCCTATTGGTAAAGTTACGGCTGTTATACTTTAGAATGGGAAAGATATGTTGGTCAATTACAGGGCTGGCTTCAAACACAGTCTGCTTCCTAACATGCCAGCTAACTTATTCATTCAAGGGACAGTTAAATAAAAGTATATTTCGTTAAATTATTAAGTAAGTTTAATTAATACAAGGCATCCACTATACGGATGACCTTAAAGCATTAATCATGCTGGAAGCAGGTCTGGTCAATTACTTGGAAATAAAAGTTAATGCATTTGTATAATCTATAACAATGGAATGTCTATGAATTGCCATTATTATACAGGTTTTCAGACAAAAGTTCTGTTAATTTATCTGATTTAGGAGATTCTGTAAGAATTTTCCATGCAAACTTTGGGCTACATGTCATATACTCCCAGTTTACATGCAAATGATTTTTCATTTCTGCCCAGTTCTAAAGGAATATCTTGATGATCATGAGATGGACAAAGATGTCAGAACAGGATGACAAGGTACCAATGTCCAGGTTTGTTTGTTTCATCATTTATTATAAAGACAATGAAGATTACTCATCAAAGAAGCTTAAAAAGTGTGGATTGTGTTTGTGTTACATTACTGGAACATATTCTGAAAATATCCATGCAGTCAACTTATTTCAATGATCCAGAACACTACATTTTATAAAAATGCCATTAAAAATTGTCCTTTTTAACTGTCATGATAATTATATGGGGAAAATTGCCACCATTGAATATAGTGCACAAAATCTTACATTCAAATGAACCTAGCTCCTAAAGAAATATTTTAGAAACTAACTTTTGGAATGCTTATATATTTTCCTTTGGCATTGTAAAGGCTACTAGTAACATATTGAAATGTTAGCAAATAACAAACATTAACAAAGAGAATGTATAATTTATATAATTTTTAAAAAATGTACAGAAGAGGAAAGAAGAAAAAAAACTATTGATAACTACAAATGGATTGCACGTGATTCATTATGTATATTAAATTCTTCACTATTTTTGCATAATACAAGCTAAAACTTACCTACTAAAAAAATTAAAAGTAAATAAATTTTACCCATCACAAATAGATAAAAAATATCACATTAAAAATCTAAAATGTTTAAAATTTTATCACATAAGTATGACATTGCTCAAGTAAAATATAAACAGTAATTTAACAGAATAATGTAAATGAAAGGTAACCCATCTCTGCTAAATATTATTTATTATTTATCCTACATTATCAGCCAGTCATCTAAGATTAGATGATTCAAAGGCTAGTGCTAAATGGCTGGTAGTTTGAAAACAAGACTTTATGTATTTAAGTACCCTTGCACATTATTTTATTTGTGTTTCAAAATGGCAACATTATCAGCATGATCAGTTTGTGATTAGTAATTAGTTTGTTTGTTGCTTTGGCACAAAAATATGAGTATTATTAAGCACTAAATGATAAATCTCAGACCTCTCAAATGAAGTTATATATTAGTATATTACTCCCACACCAAATCATTTTTTGTAAACAGCATATCTTTCTCAGATATTCAAAATCTACTGGCTGTCACTGACCAATAGTATGATAACAATTAACTCATCAGCACAGATTCAGAAACTGCTTTCAAGTCTCGTAACTGCATGATTCCACAGTCAAAGACAGGTTAATTATGAATTTAAGCTCTAATATCAGAGCAAATAATGTTTACTTCTCATAGACAAATTCTGAAATTATATGAAAAAAAGGCCAGTTCAATGCATATTTAACTGTTATTTTCAAGCATAAAAAATATATATTTATTATAATAATTAGGTGCTTATCACATCCTATAAACCTAGATTTTCTATAAATTTTGAATGCTGAGTAATAAACTATAAATTATACATCATTTACAGTTTATATATTAATAAACTATAAATAAATAATATAACCCAAGAAATGCTAAAAGTGTATAGTCAAACCCTGCTATAATGAACTTCATGGGACCAAAAATTTCGTTCACTACATCCAATCTGACAAGGGGAAAAAATGGATGATCTCATAAAATAATGTAAAACTGATTGATGAATCACATAGAAAAAGTGATTAGCTTTGTCACATCTTTCAGAAAATGTTAATAATAACTATAATTAAAAAAATAAAAGTCAAATTACAATTATTAATATATACAAGCAAGTTTTAAATTGTTTTTTCTGTTTCATCATGTGTGAATAATTTTATATGAAAAGTTACTTAGCATAAAGACTCAACTCTCAAATTACACATTTTCATCTGAAATACATATTTACAATTATGAATAAGCATCAGCATTGAACATGTGTAGTATAAAAGTTCAGTTAAAGAACCAATTTAAGCTCTTTGTGTAAATGGATCAATGGTTCTTTGACTCAATGCATGACACAGCAGGATGCCCTGGTTTTTTAAGAACTGAGTGCTACACTTGCCTCATATATAGCCTTTTGTTTAGAACACAGAGAAAGATGGAAGTACACACAAAAGAACAGTAACCTAAAGGTGTTTTTCATTATTCTAATACCCTAAACAGGATGAATTTAAGGGTTAGTAATTTTTCAGTAGGAAGTTTCAGAAATATTAGAAAAAAGTTTGAAATATAAATTGTTATATCCCATTTTCCCTTTCCACTCCCAGCATATCATATATGGTACACTTCAGTTACCCTCCATGGGCCCACCATATCAAACATGATAAGACATGATAAGGTAGTAACTTAGTGCTGTATTAAAGGAAGCAAAATATCATTGCATGGCCCACCATATAATATCTGATGCACTGAAATGCAGTGTTTTATTATTTCAAACTTTAAATGTACATAAATTATGTCAGAATGCTGCAAAATCTTATTGAAGGGAATCTCTTGAGTATTAGCTTTGCTGTTATGAATATTATTCATTATTTTATCCTTTGAATGTACAATAGCAATGCTTACAATGAGCATTCAGATTTAAAAATATATCATGCAAGAGGTTTAAAATTTTGTATGTAAATCGAGCACTAAGACATAACATGTACTAACATTTAATTCTTAAGTTTTTTTTTAGTTCATTATTGTACCAAAGTAATTTAAATATGTAAATGTAATCAATATTACTAATACTGCTAATAAACTTACTTTGAATTTTTATTTAATTTGATAATATTAGGATTCTTGATTCATATTATAAAAAATAATATTTAAATAACACATACAATAGTCCAAATGTTTTGATAAAAAGTTGATTTTATAGGAATTATTTTTGCCTGTTAGGCTTAATTATAAAATGTGCTGAAGCAAACAGTAATGTTCAGGGCTCCAAGCTCACAGGCATGGAGAACTTCAGTTTCTCGACTTTGGCAGCAAAGAGGTTAAGTCTATAGGAAACTTGAAGGGACCAAAACATTCACTGATTACAGCTGGAGGTTCATTATAAACTGGGTTCACTATAGCAGGGTTTGATTGTATTCTAAATTAACAAATTAATGCCCATGTTTTTCTTTATGCAGTTTTAAGCAATAACTACGTCGGAAGCCTTGATTGCATACTTCACACACATAAGGTTTCAAACCACGATGAATCATGAAGTGATATTGAAGATTGTGCTTCTGAGTAAAGCCCTTATTACATATTGAACATACAAAAGGACGTTCTCCAGTATGTGTAATAATATGTGATTCAAAATTTACTTTGTGGTAGGTAGTATAATCACAGAAATGACAAGCATAAACCTGATCTTCTGCTCGAAAGCTACTTTCCAGAATGGCTTTTGTTGTGGCACTAGCTTCTGGTCGTTTTCTGTACAATGCACCTGAGAGGGGAAAAGTTATTTTCACTTTTTTAACTCAGTGTTAAACTTTCTATATGTATGTGTATATATATATATAATTATGAAAAATCAACATATTATTTTACATTTCGGTCATATAAGTAACATATTTCATGAAAAAGTAATACAGTCAAAAGTCGTTAATCCGAACTCGTCAGGACCTCGGCGATTCCGGATTATAGATCATCAGCTTAAATCTGGTAAGATGGCATGCAAAAATTATAAAATTAAAAATATGAAACCGGAATTTATGAAATAAAGAACAATTATGATCTAAAGGGTATCAAAATTTACAAAAAAAAAGCTTAATATTTATTTGTTTACTTTATTAAACATTTCTTTCAATGTAAGTTGTATAAGTTGCTTCGTTTTATGTGATAATACTTTCTCTTTAATTCTATAAACAATCATAATTTCTTGTTCAGTTACAAAGTTCCGCTGTTCAAGTCCTATAATTGCTGTGTCAAAAATACCGACTAATTTGTAAATCGAAATTTTTTCGTTTTCAATAACCTCTGTGTCACTTTCTTCACTATCGGAAGATAATTATAATGACGAGGAATTTGATTTATATCATATCAAAGACAGAGTACATCGAGATGAAATACTACATTTAGTAAGGAATTATAAGCCAAATAAAATAAAAACATCTGCTCTGAAGATAAGGATAGTGCTGACAGATCACCTTCCAATTCATTGCGCACTGCGGCGTCCCGCCCCCCCGCAGAGCAGTGTGAAATTGATAAACAGATTTCGGAATGGTTAGAGAAACAAAGGATATGCCTTTATCCATTTTTTGCAGCAATTCTACTTTTTGTTTGATGGACATCGAAACATACTTTTGCTTTGTAGATCCTTTGGGTGCTCCAGCATCGGAAATTCTATTTGACATAATTGAAAGTTCAAGCTTACTTTTATAAAATTGCTCTAACAGTCTGCAAAAAAATTATAAGCCGGATCCAATTGGAAGATTAAGGAACAACGCAATCTGCAACATTAACTGAAATAGGTAATTTTAGCTTATACCGTCCGTTATACATTAAACGCGCATGCGTAAACGTATTATGCACATGCGCACACGCATATGCGCAGCCGTAAACGCCCAATGCATGTGCAGAAAGTTTGCAGTTTTGAGGTCCGGATTATAGATCATTCCGGATTATGGGTGTCCGAATTAACGACTTTTGACTGTATATCTTATTTTTGCTAATTGCTAAAATGTAATATCTAATCTATTTTTAATTAGATTTTGAAAAAGTTACTTAAAACATTTTTATGCAATTAAATAAATAAAACTTTTAAGAACTAAATGCGTAATGCTATTTTCAAATGTTCTGTCGATTAAAGAAATTTTAATGCATAATTAAGTATTTTTATACTATACTTTATTTAAATAACATATATTATTCAGAATTTAAAAATTTTATTTACATATAATAATATTTAATTCTTTTTAAGAATAGATAAATATCTTACATAATTAAAAAAGTATAGAGATTTTTGGGGAATAGCAAAAATTTATGCAAATAGAAAAAAACTTGCAGATGATTTGAAATATTTGATAAAATGACACACACAGAGAATACAACTGATATTATTAATTAACAAACTTCCATTTAGTCATACACAAACATTTGACCCGGAACAATATACTTCTATTTTATGGAGAAGAAAATGTTGAATCCTAAACATGCACATGGATTAAAAAATTTAGGACAATCAAATATTTAAATTGCATTTGAAATTGCTACTTAATGCAGATGAATAAATATTAATTAAATAAAATTACAATATTAATATTAAACAGATGTTACTCCTTCCAATTAATAGTTACAAAATGTAACCTTTTTTTTATTCATTAATGCACTTCTTAGATGCATCATTATATGCAAGCATTTATATCAGGAAATTCACTTTATTACTTTATTCATCTATTTCCCTTCTCCCCCCCCAGTTTTTTAGCATAAATTTCTGAAATTTTTAAACATATTTATGTAATTTTCCCCTCCCTGAAGGCATTCAGAATGTGAGCTCCACTAAATTACTTTAAAATGGATTTGGCCATGTAATAGTTGTTTTTATCTTACTAACAAATTTATCTTCCTCTTGCAAACTAATTGCAAAGTTATGCCAAAGCTTCCCCCTTTCCACTTACTCACAATCGTAAACATTAAAAGTAATGAAGCATTGATACAAGGAATCTGGGAGTGGCATACTCCAAATTTCATTTATTGCAAGCTGTAGCAGATGACAGAAAACTTTTGAGAGAATGATGTGCTGCTGCAGCAGCACTGAATGATTTGCAGCCCAGGGAGTAGTAGTAGGCAATAAAAAAAGCAAGGGAGATTTAAGATACAGGGATGAAGAAATGAATATTTTATTAAATATTGTACTGCTAATATTACTATGTATTTCTAATGGACTATATGCTTCTTTTAAATAAATAATAGTGTGATAGTTACTGGTAGTTTATCTGTACTGTAGCTGCATCTTTCAGAAGTTAAATTGTTTGCGTAATTTCCCCTCTCAATTTTGATATGATAAAATTAATAAAATGCAAGTAAATATAGTAGTTAAAATACACAAATGCACTAAACCCCAGGCATGGGATAACTGTAAGTATTAGAATATATATATATGATTTAAAAAAAAAAACAGTAAATCAAAATTCTAACTTTAATTCACAATAGTTCCTACACTCTACTTTAATTTTTTATAATTTATTTTCCCTTTCTGTTTTAAAACCTGCATCATTCCAAGAAAAATTACAAATTACTGGCATATGATTCTTATGTAAGACTAATGACACAGCAATTCATATAATTTTATTTATTTAGCCAATAATAACGTCAGTAGTTTAATTTTATTTAAAATTAACCATTTCAAATAAAGTTAAATCAAAGCCAAATCAGTCTGAACCAAACTTTCATCTTGGACATGTTACATTCTCTCTCTTGTTTCAATACTGTCAACTTTCTACTACCTGCTGCTTCACGTGGCTTTGACTACATTTTTAAAAGACACCAATGTAGTTCTTAAAGAACAGGTGTGCTTTTTGCCACCATTATTCATGCACATGTCAGTGATAAAAGGATGACCAAACAGCTTTAATTTTTATGCATCTACTTCTAAATTACAACATTTTTCATTTTGATTTATGTACTTTTTAGCTTGCATATATACATATATATATACAAAATTCCAAAAACAGGAATGGGGAAATAATTCAAAACTTAATTAATAAGGTAGTAATATGGATAAAATTACTGGTCACAATATATGAATAAGGCAGAAACACAAATTACATTTTTATAAGGATAAAGAAACTATAAAATCTCCCCCTTTTAAATACATTCACTGAAATCTTGTAACCTACACATCACTCTCCCAAAAGTTCTCAAACTGGTATTAAACCTATTAAAAAAAACACTATGACTTTCTAATGGAAGAATGGCTTCAGAAAGACGTAAACAATGAAGGCTATATGATTTCATTCATTCAAAATATTTTCTATGCAAAGATTTAAGGAGAGATGGTGTAACAAATAGACGTGAGTGATATACCAGAATTTAACCATTAATCTTACAGGTATTGTCCCACCATACTAACTGTGCAACTCCCCTCCCCCCCACTTTTGATACAAACATCCTGGAGATCAGACTTGACAGTCTCCCACACCTCTTCCTCTACAAACCGAGCCACTTGAAAGGCCTTTTATCTTGCCAGTATTTTAAGTGCCTCATGCTACACAAACACTATACAGTTACAAACATCCATGCTTTCTCAGGGATTTGAAGCCAAGCACAACAATGGCAGCCAACTACAATAACCATTATACCAATCTGGACAGTCTCAAAAAGAGACCACAGAAGCATACAAAAAGAGTGATGAAAAATGAAGATGAATAAAAAGTATAACCATGGTGAAAGTACTGGAATACGAAGAGAAGCTGTTAGATTCCATGAGTAAATAAGTTCATATCTAATATCACAACTTTGTGCAGTGTTTGTTAAAAAATATCAGCATAGTTTTAAACAGAAAAGTAATGTAGCAGATTTTTTGCCAGGGGGAAAAAATGAAAAGTATACATCAGTTTAATTATTATTCTAATTGAAACTTATTTAAAAAATTATGCAATATATCCTTAATTTAAATAGGAACTTAGCATAGAATGAAATAGTTTTATGTAATAATAATAAAATTTATGGAACAAAATGTAAGGAAAATGCACAATATCTTATTCATACATATAAAATAAAAAAGTAAAGAATTTTTTAATATGCATAAAATAGACATTACATAGTACATTCAGTAGAAATCTACTTAGTTCTAACAGTGTAATAATAGATAGATAGTCATAAGCATTCCTTCGTATTCTGAAACTTAAAAAACTGTTACTTTTATAAAAAAATAAAGTAACCCTATATAATACTATGGTTAGATTCCTAAGATAAGTTATAACAAAACTAAAACATAAAATAATGTCAATATAAAATATAAAGAATATATATGACATTTACAAGAGCAACTATGGTGTCCAAAATTATCATTACGAAAACACTGATTCTATACAGGCATGAATGAATTTATTTGGGGTAATTCACAGTATCTAAACACATAACAACACTAAAATTAATAAATGATCACAGAATTTCAGGATAAAGTTAATACCTCAGGGCTCAATGCAAACTTCTGATATCAGTAAGAAATATTATCTAACGCAAATCCTCATATATCAACAAACTGATTAATGCAGATCAGAGCAGTAAGTTCTATTAGTACACCAATATCGTCTTGAAGGCACCAAGATCTTTAAGAGGAACATTTTACAACCAAGTTTTCCGACGATGTTGCTTAAATTTTCTATAAATTCAAATCAGCTAGATTTGGCTGGATATTTATCCACTCAATGACCAAAGTTTCAAGAAATTCATTTACTAGGTTTGCAGCATATGAACACATTCTCACCATGAAAAGAAAAT